AGTCTCTGTACTTTCTGCTATAAAAATTTTGCCTGAGTACTTTTACCTTCTGGTGTCAATCTTATGTAATGATTAGTCTGATTAAAAAAATCAGTCATGAAATTATGTCTGTTTTTATGCTCAGGAACTTATTCTACCATTGTTCTGTCCTCATAACAAATTTCAAAGGTCACATTCTATCTAACTTTTGCTCTGCCAATCTTTCTAATGCTTTTGTCCAGAAATAGCAAAATGATACATAGAGGGCAGTAAATTGATTTTTTTTCTAAAAAGCATGCATTAAGCACATGAAATACGCTTCAAAACAGAAAGCATACTTTTTCCCTAGAATGATCAAAATGTGATTGTTTTTAAGTATAGGAAAATGATGGCTTGCATATTCCTATGAGGGAGTAGGAGAAGAAAAATAGTACTTTATTAGTTAAGTCACTGGTTAACATGGGGGCGGGGGGAGAGAAAAGGTATGTGGCAAATGGAGGCCAAGCTTTGTTCCTGTTGTAAGTGTCAACTGTTAGTAGATTGGAATTTTGGTGGCCCCAAAACACAGGTAATTGTTTTCTGTAGGAGGCTTGATTGCCTTATTTCTTGGACTCATTCTAATTTCCCCATATAGCTGTCAATAGGAAAGGCAATTCCAGAGCCCTAATTTTTCAGGAAGTGATTTAGTAGAGCAACTTGCTTTAAATTCCAGTTTCTCAGAGCAGGAATTTTTTACAAAATCTATGTCTAAAATATGAGCATCTTCCCCTTTGTAATCCATAGGTCATACTTAGTTACTAAGTCTTATCTGAGTGAAAGGATTCCTTGTTCTCATTTCTACAGATCAAGGCACTGTTGAAATACAATAAAATTGCCTTATTTTCTGGAATCACTTCAGTAGTATAAAAGTAATGTTTATTATTTTTTACTTCTCTGCAAAAGCCTGATATCCTGGCTATAAATATAAAAACTACTGGAAGAATATGGGTCAACCATGCCTAAATTAGAAAAATTAAGCTATTTTTTATTTTAGTGCTTTTTCGGTTTATAAATTACTTTTGCAGTGAGCATAGATTTTATTATTATCAGAACATACATTTTAGCTAATAATATTACATTGACTGTACAAGATTTGAAAAGTTTAGAAGCATTTAAAATAGATTAGTGGCAAGTCTCCCAAATCGCTGAATCCATTCTGTCCCTCAGTCGTAATTCCAGTAATTAGGATTCTGCTTGTTCTTTGAACCATCTTCTCCATATGTCTGGTTCCTTGTTTACCTAGGCCAGAGACCCTTTCTTGATAACATAATTCCCAGTTCCCATCCTTTCACATCAGCTAGCATCCTATTAGCTGCACCAAGTTATCTTTCTATCTACTCTGAGTGCTTGTATGCATGGGTATATATGTGTATATATTTTCTCTTCCTGTTAATCCAATTCTTAATCCAAGGTAAGTGGCAGACTTTCATTTCCCATGGCTCATTTTAGGGTTTTCCTTTATTTCTTCTCTTTTGTTTTTATTCAGTGCCCCATATCCTAAGTTTTCACCTTATTCCACAAAAGCTATGTCCTTGTAATCTTATTTTATCTGTTCTTATTTTGCTGCTAAAAATACACTCTTTTCCTCAGTATACCATACTCCCCCGAGATGATCATATTAGATATATTTTTCCATGCTTTCCTTAGCTATTGATTTCCTGAATTTCTATACTGACCATCATTCTATCTGATGCTTTGCTGGAATAAGAAATATGTTCATAAACCATTTATTTTAGAGTGATTTTCAGCTTTAGTAAACACATGCCCATATCCCCAAAATCAAGAATGAAAGACTCATATTATCATTTTCTTGAGACTGGGGACATATACCCTCTCCCTCTAGTGAATTATCTTATGTTTTTGTCCAGCTTCTATTGCTTTCAAATGTTATGGTTTATTTTAATGCCCTATTCAATTGATTTTTCATGTGCTGTCTGATAAATTTTCCATGTTTCTTCTTTTTTGAAATTAGCTTATCTTCTCATGAAATGGACCATGCCTCTTTAACCAAACCAAAACAAACATTTCAATTTCAATGAAACCTTCTCAGCTGTCTGTCAAAACTGTCTTTCACTTGTTTTCCTTCAACATGTGTAATATTTTAGCAAGTGTTCCTTATATTAATACTCTTACTACAGCCTAAAGATTTAGAGAACTGACTGTATATCACTTGAATTCAATAAAAAGAAAATGGACATAGGGGATTAGATAAAATGTGTTAATCATTAAATTTAAATTATGTGGCTAAATTCATATTAAAAATTAATTCATAATTAAAAATAAATTCATATTAAGAAGCAACTGCTTGCCCAACTCTAGGCTTCCCTGATAGATCAGTTGGTAAAGAATCTGCCTTCAATGCAGGACACCCCGGTCTATCCCTGGGTCAGGAAGATCTTGGAGGATGGATAGGCTACCCACTCCAGTATTCTTGGGCTTCCCTTGTGGTTCAGCTGGTAAAGAATCTGCTCAACTCTGCTTTCTAAGTTAATATGTATCTCTCTCTTTTCTTGTGTTCAGTAGCAGACTCTGTTCTTTTCCTACCCAGTGTTCCAGTTAGAATTGTTGGTTTTTCCCCCTACTAAGACAACAAATTATGCAATTACTAATATCCCTGAACTCCATTCTTGTTTGTTTTTGTTTTTTTTTTTAGCTAAACCAACAATTCTGTACTGTGCACACACATACACATCACACAGTCCCCCAGGCCCTCAGCTCAGTTAGAACATAAAACTGTCTATGTAGAACTAATGGTTTATCTCTTATGCCAAGAATCATTCAGTTCACTTCAATGATATTGAATATCACTCTGCTAGACAGTAAAGGGGAAGCAAAGATGAATAATACAAGCTTCTAATTCTAATAGAACTCTTAACATTTCTTTTCAAGACATGACATCTTCATTACAGAATGAAACCAAGAGATTTATTGACTCAGATTATCTTTATTGAAAAGTGATGGATCCACTTGTTCTATGTAAACCCTAACAAAGGGTTCCCCTACTTGAGAAGTTCCCATATTTTGAACACACTTTTGGTCTGTAGACTCACTTGAAATGTAAAGAACTTTGATCAGACCCTCACTGAGTAGCAAGGCTGGATCTTGTTTTTCAAAAGATAGAAAAATTTTTAGTGAAGATTAGCTTCCTGGTAGGGAAACTCCTTGTACCATTACCAGAGATATTCTGGGGAAATGCCTGGTGAGGGGAATTACTGATAAAAGGAAAAGTGCTGTTTCTATGCTTTGGAACTGAAGAATAATAGAAAGGTAGCCATTTCAACACTGTGGGAAGATACTCTGAAATGAGATTTAAGGATGATTAATGAAAAACACAAGCATGTCCCTCCTAGTGTTGCTTATCAGCTAGACTCCTACAGGATTTATGTAAACAACTGTTCATCAGGCATCAGGTGGTTGTGGGAATTGTAAATGTAACTTCGGAGAGTGCTGGTCTTTCTCCCCAGTGAGTCACCAGCAGAGTGGGAAATGAGAAGCAAAGAGACTCATCTAAACAAATCTGCAGTATGAGCACGCATACTTAGCATTTATTCAGTGTTTGAAGTCTATGGGCTTATTTGTTACTATCACACAGTTTGATCATCAGCACACCGTAGACGGGTCGAGCAGGAAACTGAGGATTAGAGAATTTAAGTCTCTCTATAGATTATGAGACTCTTAAGTAGCACAACATTCATTTCATGCCATGAAAAGATTTTGTACCCTAACACCCAGAGACAAGACAGCTCCTGCCTTCTGAAGCCCATTTCAACTGTCATGCGACAGAGCCTGTGCTCAGGAACTCAGGCCTCCGGGCTCCTTGTTCAGTGCTCACTTCACCAATGGCTTCTGTGTACTGTTAAAAGTTACCTCCATTCAGTCATCTGTAAAGATGTGGATGGAGCTAGAGTCTGTCATACAGAGTGCAGTCAGACAGAAAGAGGAAAACAAATATTGTATATTACTGCATATGCATGGAATCTAGAAAAATGGTACAGATTAATGTATTTACAGGGCAGGAATAGAGATGTAGACATACAGAATGAACAAGTGGACATGGTGGGGAGAGGAGTGGAATTCATTGGGAGATTAGCACTGACATATGTATACACTACCATGTGTAAAATAGATAGCTAGTGGGAACCTACTGTGTAACACAGGGAGCTCAGCTCTGTGATGACTTGAGGGATGGGATCGGGTGGTGAGGCGAAACATGTGTACATACAGCTGGTTCACTTTGCTATACAGCAGAAACTAACACAACATTGAAAAGCAATTATATCCCAATAAATTAAAAATATATATAGCTCCCTTTAAGGCAGTGAAAGCAGTTCCCTGTAGAAAGCTCTACAGAAGTATACTTAGGAATTGAGGAGGGTGTCATATTACAGAGGATGTCATGTTAGAATCAGGGAAGTGAAGCCTGGTTAAGATACAAAAGAGGAGTGAGGGGTGTTTGTAGAAGTTTAAAATCAGCATTGAGAAGACTTTCCATGACTTTATAATTTTACCAAGAACCGACTTAGACCAAGGATAGTAATATAAATTCCTTTTGACTTTTGAATTGATATTTCCTGAATATCTATCTCAAGCCATAGACTAGATTAGGCTCTGAGGACTGATCCAGCAGTGAGTATGATGTTCATCATCCTTGTGCTCATGAAGTAACAGGATAGAGGATGTAGTCTTTATCGAGAAACCAGAGCTCTGTGCTGCCATGAAAGAACCTCGCACAGCAGTGGAGCCCAGTCCAATGTGAAAATGAGGGAGTTTCTGTATTCAAATAACTGAATTGGGCCCTGGAGCACTGAAGGAAGAATACTTGAGCAGAGTCACTGTGATGACTGCCATCACTTAAATCAATAATTGAAGAGTCCCCTCAAAATAGCATTTTCAGGAAAAAGTGATAACATGGTTTGTTTTATGTTGGACTTCTCCAGATCCATTGATGTACCTTACATTGGTAACTTCTCTCACCTTCCCAGAAAATACATGTCTTCAAGAAGACCCTACAGGCACTGATCTACCCCATGTCCTCCACCACCCCGCACAACTTTGAAGTCTGGACAGCTACAACACCTACCTACTGTTACGAGTGTGAAGGGCTCCTATGGGGCATTGCCCGGCAAGGCATGAAGTGTTCGGAGTGTGGAGTGAAGTGCCACGAAAAGTGTCAGGACCTCCTGAATGCCGACTGTTTGCAGAGTGAGTACTCAGGTGAACAAACAGGTGCACAGAGCTGGTCTCACCCTATGTGTTTTCAGCTCTTGCTAATTCTCAACAAATCGTATTCAGTCATACAAAGTTATACACACTGCCGATCAATCACCTAACTGACTTTGTTGACCCTGGCTCTGTCAGATTCCTAAGAATAACTACTTGGAGTTTAATGGCACTTGGCCCAAGTAGAAAATTTCAAAGTGACTTCCAATCTGTGTTCTTACTTTTATCTCATAATAGCCCCACATGGTCAGTGGGAACATGTAAAGTCATGTTCCTCACATAGTGTTGATGCATCCCTGAGGTGACAGCAACTGGAATTCTTTTCCAAGCCTGCTTGACTTCTGCCTTCTGCAAGCAAGCGCCATGCTCTTCTGCAGCCCCTGTGCTCTTCTGCAGACCTTGAAATTGGGAGGTTGTGTATCTGAATGTCAAAGACAAATCTAACTTACCAGATAGGTGACCTGGAAAAAGTTTTTCTAACTTCTCAGGGTTTCGTTTTTCTTCCTTCAAATAAATAGGAATAATAAACTTTACCTTAGTGGTTTATTTTGAAGACTAAATGGGAAAGTTGCTGCTAAGAGCCTGGCACATAATAGATGCTCAGTGAATATTAATGGTCTCTCCACTCTTTTACATTTCTGAATAAGTACATGTCACTTTGACTTTTATGACAGGTTATTTTAGATTTTTCATTTCTGAAAAAAGAAAACCCTTTATACTGGTACTTTAAATAATAAGTCCTGAAATGCCAAAACTCTAAAACACGTATTATTAACGTTTAACTGCTGAATTGATTTGTCTGCTGACTTTAAATAACTAAAAAAGTACTGGTGAAGAACTCTATTTAAACATGGACTTTCATTTTCAAATGATGTGTTTTTCACATTTAATATCATCTCCTTTGTTTATTATTTATTTGAATATGGTCAGTGTAAGGTGCATGGGTTGCCTGAAATTGAGGGAAGACAGAGGAAAATGTCAAAATAGAGATTAAATCATAAATGCTGGCATGGATTATTTTGAAGACTAAATGGGAAAGTTGCTGCTAAGAGCCTGGCACATAATAGATGCTCAGTGAATATTAATGGCCTCTCCACTCTTTTACATTTCTGAATAAGTACATGTCACTTTGACTTTTATGACAGGTTATCTTAGATTTTTCATTTCTGAAAAAAGAAAACCCTTTATACTGGTACTTTAAATAATAAGTCCTGAAATGCCAAAACTCTAAAACACGTGTTATTAACGTTTAACTGCTGAATTGACTTGTCTGCTGACTTTAAATAACTAAAAAAGTACTGCTGAAGAACTCTATTTAAACATGGACTTTCATTTTCAAATGATGTGTTTTTCACATTTAATATCATCCCCTTTGTTTATTATTTATTTGAATATGGTCAGTGTAAGGTGCATGGGTTGCCTGAAATTGAGGGAAGACAGAGGAAAATGTCAAAATAGAGATTAAATCATAAATGCTGGCATGGCTGGCTGTTGTAGTAACAGTTCACACACATTGTACACTTTCTTCTTCCTGATTAGTATTCTCCCTATACAACCAGATCAATTGAGACTGTTAATGGTAATGAATGTGTTTTTTAAAGCAAAATATAGTACTCCTTTAAAACATAAAATGTATACTTAGGAATGAGTGCTTATGAGGAAGGGAAACTGACTCAGTATTACCCAGCCAAGTTACCTGCATATCCCATCCTACAATTACAATTTAGTCTACCTCTTTTAAAACTGAATTGTGAACCAGTGTCTTAAGAAACAACCACATTAGGGCAGTGATATTTTGAGAAAATAGGTAGGAAAAATATTGCCATATAGAAACTATGGTTTAGATCTCTTAAAGAAAAAAATGTAGGTCATACTTAAGAAATGAGCTCATTCTTCAGGTCTTTCAAAGACGAGAGATGCCACCCACTCATAAGCTTTAGAAAAATTTTCATAGTCTGTTTCCATTTCTTCAGATAGCATGCTTTATTTGGTAATGGTTAAATACATGTGGCAAGCTTTTCATTGAAGTTATTCATTAAAATGTATGTAAATTGGAAGAATCAGAGACAGTACAAAAAAATGAAAGCACACATGTATCCCCCAGGAAAGGGATATTTTCCTTAATAACTCCTTATATTTCCCTGAAACTCACATTCTCACACTGAATGGAAAGAGGTTTTGCTAATACAGGAATTCAGCTTCACCACTTACCACAATAACTATCAATAAAATTTAAAGTTGTCCTAGCAAACTAATGTTCAAAATTCTCCAAGCTAGGCTTCAATAGTACATGAACTGAGAACTACCAAATGTTCAAGCTGGATTTAGAAAAGGCAGAGGAACCAGATATCAAATTGTCAACATCTGTTGGATCATAGAAAGAGAATTCCAGAAAAACATCTACTTCTGCTTTACTGACTATGCCAAAGCCTTTAACTGTGTGGATCACAACAAACTGTGGAAAATTCTTAAAGACATGGAAATACCAGACCACTTACCTGTGTCCTTAGAAATCTGTATGAAAGTCAAAAAACAGCAGTTAGAACTGGACATGGAACAACGGACTGGTTCCAAATCGGGAAAGGAGTATTCCAAGGCTGTATATTGTCACCTTGCTTATTTAACTTATATGCAGAGTACATCATGAGAAATGATGGCTGGATGAAGCATGAGGTAGAAGCAAGATTGCCAGGAGAAATATTCATAACCTCAGATATGCAGATGATACCACCCTTATGACAGAAAGCAAAGAGGAACTAAAGAGCCTCGATGAAAATGAAACAATATAGTGAAAAATCTGGCTTAAAACTCAACATTCAAAAAACTAAGATCATGGCATCTGGTCCCATCACTTCAAGGCAAATTGATGGGGAAACAATGGAAAAAGTGACAGACTTAATTTTCTTGGGCTCCAAAATCATTGCTGATGGTGACTGCAGCCATGAAATTAAAAGACACTTG